ATGTCCTAGCCAAATCTTCCTGAATGTCCTATACACTGAGGGTTTGCTTTTACCTTAATTGTCCATGTAGCCAATTTTTGCCCCCCACCCCCTTTGTGGTACTGCAGTTTGAACAAAAGGCATTGTGCTTTCTAGAAGGTTCTCTACTACTCAAGGCATGCCCTCAGCTCTTTTTTGCTTTAGGCATTTTCCAGGTATGCTCTTGCATTTTTAGGGTCCAGTCTCAGATGTCAGCCTTCCTATGGGTGCCCTCTCATGTAGCTGGATGACAGGTACCAGCCACTATGTCCCATGTCCAGCTTGGGCTGGTCTTGAACCATGATTCTCCTAATCTCTGCTTTCTGAGTAGCTAGGACTACAGGTATGGCCGCTGGGCCTAATTCTTCCTCACTTCTTACAGCATCAGCAACACTTAGAATATTCTCTGTAGAGTCATCCCTGCCCTAACTTACTAGTCCCAACATTTAACAGGATTTAGCTAATTAGTTCCATCTATCCTCATTAGCATACTGGTTCTCTATATCATAGTGATGGTTCTGGGAATGGGTTCTTGATATCATTTGGGGAATGATTTTCATTGGATTTGCTGGGGACAAAAAAAAGCCTATTTTATTGAGAGTTGTATAGCAAATCCTGCTGCTGCTGGTGGCCACCATAAATGGGAAGGCTATGTGAACATCAAGTCTCTGTGGAGGGAAGGCTAAGAGGAAAACTTTCTGAAATACTGAGTGAGCCCCTAGCTGTGCCTCAAGATACCACAGCCCTAGAGTTTCTAGATACTAAAGTCAAAAATTCCCTTTCTGTTTAAGCTGGTTTGACTTGGCTTTTTTTTTTTTTTGATCACTTGTCTTGGAAAGAGTCCAGAATAGTATTTTCAAGACAGGGAGATTGAGATATATGTTGGCTGATGGTATAATTCTATGAATAGTATCCTAGAACCTTCTGATATAAGAAAATGAATGCAGTCCTTGAGCTGCTAAAACCTAACTCTTTCCCAGCCTCCCAAAGGGATCATCTCCAAGCAGCCCCACCCCTCTCTCTGCCCTTCCTCCCTCCCAAGTGAATCTACTTGTCCTAATAGGCATGAATGAGTGTTCCTTACCCGGTTAACCGCCTGTGGCAGCAGCAGGCAGAGGCAATTCTGTGCTTATGTAGAGAGCAACAATATTTAAAGAAAGAGGCAGGCAAGTATATCCATGAAACGTTTTTCTTTTTTTTTTTTCTTTTTTCTCTTTTGTAGAATTGAAGCTTATGAGTTTATCTATGCCCACTATGTTCATAATTACAATTTAATATCTGCATACAAAAGCTAGGTAAAAATCCATTTTTTCCCCAAATATACAAATTTTCTTTTTGGATAGTTTAAAACATTTTGATCACAGATTTCAACAGAATTTTAGGCTGAAAAAAATATCTATAACCAACCTAGCAGTATCACTTGATCACTTGACACTGTTTACAAAACACACATCTTCCAAAGATTGTAAACCTCTCTCTTCTGTAGCATTTTTTTTTTTTCTGATCTTTTTTTTTCAGGGCATGAGAACCTTATGGGGTGGAGGAATGTCTCAGGCTTCAGAGAAGTCTGAAGAAAGTATGGAGATCTAATTTGGCTCTATAATCACATTAAAGATGTTGGGTTCATAAGAAAGATCCAAAAGAAAGAGATGGCGTAAGTCATGTCAGCTCATCATGCCCTGATAGTGACTGTATCCAGAATGCATGCAACAGTGTCTCCTGTCTTACGTTGTGCTCCATAGCCTATGTGAGAGCTACCTGTGCCCTGAGGAGTACAGGCTGACTTCTGATTGTCTTGTGCATAAGGGGAATCAGTTTGAGCTGAGCAACAGAAAGCCACAAACAGCATTTTACCTGCACGGTATTGCTCTTGAAGGCGGCATTAGTTAATGTGGAAACACACTAGAAATGCACACTTTTTGCATCTGCAAATATTTATACAGCACAGTAAAAATTCTGTAATAAGGCCAAACCTTTTTTTTCCCTCTCCCTAGTCTGTTTTTTTTTTTAATGTATTTTTTTTTAAAGATTAAAGTGAAACATTTCAATTGTAAAAAATACACACCGGGCAAATCCTTACCTGGATAATAAATATCTACATCACAGTACAATAAAATTTCTTCTCTATAAAATTTACATATGGATTATAGCCTGTCACTATTAAAAGAAGCACTAATGCTAATATTTTCATATTATTAAAATAACAGGAAAATTATGAGCTTATTTTAGAACCTGATGCCATCACCATTAGAAAGGGCAGAGATTCGAATGTCTGCCAACTCTCCTTTTAAGGAGGAACTGTGGCTTGGTTATTCACTTAAATTAAGTTCATGAGAAAAAGGTTTAACCTTATAAACGCTGGCTACATTTCAAAAAAACCATGATAAGACTGATTTCATCATTTATGACTCATGCAGCAAATGGTCAATATGACACGAACAGGTTAAGAGTTCCACAGAATAGAGATGTCTCACGACAATGTCATGCTCTGAGGGGCTCAGCAGGGCCACGAGGCTGAGTCTGGGAGTGGGGGCTGGGGAGCTGTGTGGAGGGGAGGCCAAGGCCAATACACCTGTCACAGAGCAGAGCTGGGCCAGGCAGCCCTCTCTCAGGATTGAGCTGCAGACCAAGTTGGTGACACTTAGGGCACAGGTGGCGGCAGCGCTGGGCCGAGGCAGCAACATGTCAGGCGCGTCATTGAAGATTGTGACTAGAAAAAGCTGTGAGGCCGCACGTGATGTTTTTCAGCAGAATCATAAAGAAGGAAAGAGCTTGGTTTAGATTCTAGAAGTTCTTCACATCTAAGTTGAAGAGCAAGGTACACCTGAGTGTACAAACACACCTGTTCACGCGTGTCCGTGCATACACACACAGGCAGAGTGTGTGTACCCACCCCTACGCATCCCTACAAATGAGTGATTTCTAAAGAAGAACCCCAGAACGATGGCTGTGCTTTCCTCGACGGGAAGCTATGTCTCCCCACTATGGTCCACACTTGATTTGAAAGTCTGAACAGTGGTAAGGAAAAAAATAAAATCAGAACAAATACCTCAATCCGATTGCGTTTTATAAGAGGGAATCTTAAGATGCACTAAGTATCCCAACCAGCTTCAGAAGGAATGAGTTTAATCTCTCCATCCATCAGGATTCTTAGAGGCCTGAACACTTTTTCCTTTCAATTGGAAGCACCCTCAGGTTTGTTCTACCCAGCACGAAGTATTCAGCCTTCAACAAGGCTTCTAGACCAGTGGTTTCCCTGTTTAAGGCAGTCACTTAAGGAACTGAGGATCAAACTTGGCTTGGGGCTGGCTGGCTGGCTGGTATAGATCTAATGTGCCAGCTATCTGGCCAGGGGCCAGCAGTGGTTACATCCTCAGAACATTATGATGTTGCTTTGAGATCAGGCTCTGCACTGACATGGGTGCCTGATGTTCTAGGAGACCAGCCAAATCAATGAAGCAACTTTCCTTAGCAACCCTGATGGAGTTTCTGAGCTTGCTCAGCAACTCACCTGCTTGTCCCCCTTTCCCTTTGGGAGGAAAATTTGTCTCCCACAGTAAACTTTTTCCATTCCCTAGAGAGTGCTGAGTGCTTGTTTTTCAGAGTTCCCTCAGGAGAGTGAATAGAGGGAGCCAATACGGTCTCAGAGCAAGTAAGGAGACTGCGAGACAAAAAATGAAGCCAGTGGTCTGTAGGTACTCAAAGCAGGCAATCTGCCGACGAACTTCATGCTTACCATTTTAATCCCTTCACATTGCTTTTCTTGTTTCCTTTCCTCCAGAAGCCAGTGTAGTTGATTTAGTGCATCAAACATTTCCCCGCCACCCCCCCATTGTTTCCAATCGTACTTGGGATTTTCAGTGCTGTTCCTTTTTACAAGGCCATTCTGCCTTCCTCAAAAGAGTGAACTAGTATTGTGTCATTCTTACTTTGAATTAATATCAAATATGTATATTTCTTAACTGCTAAGGGACCATACTTTTTTGTGTAATAAGCTAGAAGTTTGAAAAGGAAAGAAATCATCAAAAGAACCCTATGTCCCTTACATAATTTTATACAATATTGAGGATCAGGAGGCTTTTGGAGATCATACCTTATTCAGATTAAAAAAAAAAACAAAAACAAACCCAAAACCCCAAGACCTGAGGTCCCGAATCTACCAGCTGATAGAGCATAAACTAGAACTCAGGCACTCTGACTTCTCCAGTTATGCTCCACCAAACCTGAAATTAAATTTTCCACTTGGTTTTCACAGTGACTTTCATTCCTTTTAGGTAAATTTCACTGATATGGCTTATTTTCCCCAATATTTCCAGGATAAGGCAGTAAAAGGCAGGCAAGGAATAGTTCATATCTACTATGCCGGTGAAGAAGGAGATACATTCAATTGCATGGGTACATTCTTTGCCAATTGTCTGGTGTTAAAGTGATGATGTGTTACCATTTGTTTTCTGGGCACAGCTACTCTCATTGGTCATTGGAGGGCTGAGTTGGGTATGGAAGGTAAGAGAGTGTTCCCACCAGTGGTCCACAGGAGTTTTCTGTTGAGTATCTGTCAGGGTAATGTTATTGAAAGAATAGGAGATTCATTGACAAGGAGAGTTGCCATATAGCTTAGAGAGTTGAGCTATTTAGTGCCTCAGAATTGATGGAAAAAGGGACTAGGAAATATTTGTGAATAAAGCAAAGGGCTTGTGGGTCTAAGAACAGAAGGCAGTATCATCCAACCACGGTACAGGAACCCTGCATTTCCTTCAATTTCAGATGCAACTACACTAACCTCTCCCCAGAATTCATCCCAACGAGACCCAAGAGTTCAACTCTGCATTTGCTCCTTGATTAGAAGACTTGATCCACAGAGAAGAAATCTTCTGTTAGCTCAGCAATAATGCAGCTTGGGCAAGTAACTTCAGAAGACAAATCAGATGCAATTGAGTGGTGATACTTCCCTATAAATAGGTCTGATTTCTGTGGGAATGTCCTGGGAGCCTAAACCCATCGGACAAGTCTTCCTGAAGTTTTCCTGCTGTGAGGAGAAGGTTTGGAAACTACAGAGTCACTGACATTGGTAAAGATTCCTAATTTGGGGGAGGGGCTCACTAAAAAAAGTTATTTTCCTGTGGCCCCAACCAGTCAAATTCCTGCACACCTTAGAGCCACTCTCTTGTGCAACTTGAATCATAAAAGTTTCAAAAATGATATGGAAAGGACAGCTGATATGTCAGGATGCAATATTCCTATGCATTCTAAGTTATGTGGCTAGGAGGGAAGAAGAATACCGAAAGCAACACGCTCCCGAAGAGTGAAAATTAGTTTGAATCTTCCCTTAAAAAGCTACAGGTCACATCTAACTAATAGTGGGTGATTTCTGTTTGTTGAGCCCAAAAAAGGATCAGGATTGGATTAGACTAACTAGATTGTCTTGGTTTTAAGGCTTCTTTAGTCTTCTGCAGTGCTTTTCTTCTTGCTCAGGTCTCTGACTAGGGACAGGTGGGAGCTGGTGATGGCTTAATGCTGGTGAAATGGTCGTTCCCCACCCCACCTCTACTTCCACTGCTGTGAAACCTTCAAAGCATTCACATCCAAGGACAGGAGAACTAAATGCAATAGTGACAAGTACCCGCATTTGAGGGGCAATTTCATCCATGTCTAGGCCAGGACTTCCTCCCTTCCCCTCACACACTCCCTCCAGACACAAAGAAACAAGGAAACAAACAGAGAGCTTAGGCAATGGAATGAAATGACACCCAGCAGTGCTGTAGGAATTATGAGAATGAATCCAGTCTAATCCTCGAACACTTCCAAGAACAAAGGGGGGAAGAGCTCTGTGGGGCATTCCACCTTCATGTGGAGGAAACGGCTGGCGTGGCAGGCTCCAATCATCCGCAGGTCTGTCACTTTCATCAGGAGTTTTGGCCAAAAGTGTGTCACGTGGTGTTTTCGGTAATTGATATAGTGTTCAAAGGCCAGCAGGAAACTGTCTTGGTATTTCTCTATTCTCTCCACACAGGCCAGCCCTGGGCGATCTGAGGGGAAGGAAGAAGAGGGTTAAGAATTCAGAGGTGGAAACTGTCCAGGTCTAGTCATTTAGAGGGCGGTGAGTATAACTGGGAACTTGGGACTCCTAGGAATGGGCGGGACACACTATGCACTTGGCATGCAGGGGGCCGAGTTACAAGGAGTGGCGGTGCTTGGTTCAGGTAAGAGTTTCTAGTTTATGCTGATTGCCTTCTTCAGTCTGAAAGGTGCTGCCCCCTCCTAGGTTAACATAGTTTGGTACATTTTGTATAGGGAAGGACAAGATTCTGAAGTTTCCACTGTCTACCTGGGAGAGAGGACAGACAGACTATGCAGAGGCAGTGGGAGGGGTGAGAAGAGATGGGAGACATCACAGGAGGCCTGGAGACCCAATGAAGAATGCTGGACAGCAAGACATTACCTTGAAGACAGGTGCAATGGGTAGGTTTCAGTCGTTTGCCAAGCTCAGTGACTCACCCCTATTCTTTCTCATTCAGCAGTCCTGTTTTAGCCGTGGGTGCCATGCCCCCAAACCCCTATGCCTACAACCACAGATAGTATCCAACTCAACATGGAAATTGTCCCCTGGTATCCATGGAGACCAGTTCCAGATGCCAAATTTTAAGATCATCAAGTCCCTCAAGTGGTGTAGAGCTCTGCATATAACCTACAATATCCTCCTTAAGTGATCTCTAGATTACTTATAATCTCCAAGGCAATGTGAATGCTATGGAAAAGCTGTTTTACTCTGCTGCTGAGGAAGTGACAAGAATTGAAAGCCCTCTTGCCATGTTCTCTTAATGTTGAATCTTTTTTTCTTTTTGTCAGCCCTGGGGCTTGAACTCAGGGCCTAGGCATTGTTCCCCAGCTTCTTTTGCTCAAGGCTAGCACTCTACCACCTGAGCCACAGCACTACTTCCGGCTTTTTCTGTTCATGTGGCACTGAGGAATTGAACCCAGGGTTTCATGCATGCTAGGCAAGCACTCTACCACCAAGCTACATTCCCAACCCCTTCACTTAATGTAGATGCATTCCACCGCCCCCCCCCCCAAATATTTTCAAAGTGTGGCTGGCTGAATCTGCAGATAGCTTGAGGACATGGAGCTCTAACGTACTGTTTTTGTTTTTTGGTTTTTTTTCCTGATACATAGATACCTCTGATAAAGCCTAATTTATAAATTGGGGAAAGGAAAAGATTAACCACAATCATAGTAATAAACAATTGTAACGAACAATTATAACAACATACTATAATAAGAGTCATATAATATGGTTTCTTTTTTTTAAAAATAACCTTAGTGTACCTTTTCAGATATAATGATTTTCTGCTTTTTATAATTTGCATATACAAATTGCCATCCTTGCTTTGGGGACATTGTTAAAGGATGATGAGAATACATGGATCTGATCACTGAGATGCCCACTAAGCAACTCATGGGCAGGTAGTATGTACGGCATGAATGCTCTGCATAACATAAAGGTGTGGTTCCCATCGAGGAGAGAGGAAACAGGAGCAGGCAGAGGTTTCATCATGCTACTCAGAACAGCACACAATTTAAACTTTCTGAATTTCTTTTACATGCAATTTTCCATTTAGTAGTTTTGGATAATGGTTGACTAAAAGTAATTAAGACTGTGAACTTGAAATCACAGAGGAGGCGGGAGTACTGTGCCTTTAACAGAATGGCTACCTGTAGCAGCCATGTGGTACAATGATTTGTGGAATTAAAATAAAACGAGGGAGATGTCAAGTGAGCTACACTAGAGTCATCTTGTATGGAGAGGAGAAAGTACCAGTGGGAAGCCAGAGAAAACCACGACCATAGAAAGCCTGGAAAATGATCCCAGTGTTATAAACCCCTGGTTTTTCTACTGCATGTGTCAGACATGAGAAAGGGATAACACAAGAAGGTCTGATGTTGTCATTCAGACTTGGGTCTAGTCCGGCTGCAAGCACTTGGATAACAAAATACCTGGATGAACTCTTCAAACAAGGCAGCAAGCCCACCCTGCTGCTCAGTTATCTTTAGTTGGCTCTTTGCAGTGCTGATCAAGGATGTGAGTGTTGAGAGTCCAGTTGCTGGAGTGTCCATAGTAGTCAGATCTACATACTGTTCTGCTTCACATGAAAGGAGGGAGCAGGGGGAATGTCTCTTATCATACTCTGAATCTACATGAACCCCATATGGGCTTTGGGACATATGGGTTGATATTGCTCTGTGGATCTGATTGGTCCCTCCCTCCCTCCCTCCCTCCCTCCCTCCCTCCCTCCCTCCCTTCCTTCCTTCCTTCCTCTTACTCTCTCTCTTTTTTTTCCTTTTTCCTTTTTATTTTTTTTGTCATGGGGCTTGAACTCAGGGCCTGGCTTCATTGTCCCTGAACTTTTTTGCTCGAAGCTAGCTCTCTACCACTTTGAGCCACAGTGCCACATATGGTTTTCTGGTAGTTAATTGGAAATAGAAGCTTACAGAATTTCCTGCCTGGTCTGGCTTTGAACCATGATCCTTAGCTCTCAGCCTCCTGAGTAGTTAGGTTTATAGGCCTGAGCCACTGGCACCCAGTTTGGTTGTTCACTTTATTTCCTTGTCTTTCCTTCTCTTTCTTTGAGTGTGTGGGAATCCTTCATGGTTCCTTTAAGTTTTGATCCAAATAGAAAATTAAGATAATATTGTTTTGGCTATATTGTTTCCAAAGAAAAATAACTTGGATTTTATGGCATTAAAGCATTTTATGACATAAAAACTCTGTCTTTTGATAAGAGATACAGATGAGATGGTCATATAAGTGGTAGAGAGAGAATGGACTGACATTTTGATGGTGTGCAAATCAACTTAAACAGGTTTATGAAGAAAGCAACTTTTGAAAGATGGAGACTTTTTTTTATTATTTAAGACAAAAGACCTCAGCAGGCATGGTGACATACACCTATAATCCCAGCTAACTGGGAAAGCAAAAACTTAGAAGAATTTTTAGGCCAGCCTCTGTGTGTGTGTGTGTGTGTGTGTGTGTGTGTGTGTGTGTGTGTGTGTGTGTGTGTGTGTGTGTGTGTGTGTGTGTGTGTGTGTGTGTGTGTGTGTGTGTGTGTGTGTGTGTGTGTTGGGGGAGGAGGGAGTTAGTGAGATCCATCTCAGCAAATGAGTCAGAAGTAGTTGCACATATTCTATAATCCCAGCTAAATAAGCCCTGGTCTAGCAATGTGAGATACTGAGTTCAGCATCCTAGTACTTAAAACATTTAAGAAAAAGACATGATGTAACTGAAATGCCAAACAGACCATCAGCTTAGAAGACAAGGCTGAGGGTGTTTGGATCATTCTTGTTCTAACATGGAGGCTTCGCTTGTCAAATGTACGGTATCTTGTGATATTTTTCTGGCCTACCAGTGCTACTGAAAAAAGTCCTTCTATAGGACAGGACTATTTAAAAGGTATAAACTATGTCACATGGCTATCAGGTTGCTCTTCTGGTGTCAGAGGACTTGGATGGATCATTCAGTTAGGTGTGTGGTGGTGTTGGTTTGGATCTTAAATGTCTCCCCAGCGTCCCATGTTAGAGGCATGGTCCCCAGTACAGCAGGATGGAACCTTTGAGCAGTGACTGGATCCCAGGTGCTCTGAGCTCCTCAGTGGGTCAGTCCAGGTATGGATTCACAGGGCAAGGGTGCGTTGGGAGGTGGGAAACATTAGGAGGTGTAGCCTCCTTGGAGGAAGGAGGGCTGCAGGGAAGTGCCCTCAAATGGCATCTTTCACACAAGGCCACGAATCCTCTGCTTCCTCTGCTTCTAGGTCAGCATGTTCTGCTTTGCTATAGGCCTAAAAGCAAAGGACTATGGAAACCTCTGAAACTAAGAGCCACAATATTCCCTCCCTTTTTCTTAGTGGTGCTGGGGTTGAACTCAGGACCTTCTGCATGTTGGGCAAGTACTCTATCATTGAGCAAAACATTTATCCCCCCATTCTTTCCCTTCCTCTTTCTCTCCCTTTCCATCCTCTGTCTTCCTCTCACTTCTCTCTCTTCCTCTCCTCTGTTTCCCTTCCTCCCTTCATTCCTAACACTGTCTTGATATGTTACCAAACTTATAGGCCTTGAACTTGGCATTCTTATGCCTTAGCCTCCTGAGAAGCTGGGATTATAGTCTGTATTGCCACAGCTAGCCTTTTTTCCTAGAGTTGATTCTTTCAGGTATTTGTCACAGTGGCAGAAAGCTAACACATCGGCAATTACCAATTCTTCCTTTTATCAACCTTACTTAAGGCAGTTATTTTCTTAACCATCTGTTGAATTGGCACATGACAGAGGAAACACTGTGATCACTCAGTAATCAAAATTTCTTGCCATGAATGGAAGACTATCATGCAAATGAAAAAAACCTTTCTAAAATAATAAACCTTCTGAAAGATAAAAGGTGAGGTGGCAGTGAATTGGCAAGCCACAGGTTCTGCATGCATAGAAGGGGAAGTTTATAAGAGGGAATGAACCAGAAGGTGGGAAAAGGGGGCCCTGCATAGGGTCTGTCCACCAGTCTCCAAGATGATTCATTGTGCTAGTCCATCTATTTATATCTGAGATTTCTTTTTCTTTTCTTTTTTTTTTTTGGTGGCTTGAACTCTGGGCCTGGGTGCTGCCCCTCAGCTCTTTAGCTCAAGGCTAGTGCTCACCCACTTGAGCCACAGCTCCACTTCCGGCTTTTTTCTTTTTGCTTATGTGGTGCTGAGGAATCGAACCCAGGGCCTCAGGCATGCAACGCAAGCGCTCTACCACTGAGCCACCTTCCCAGCCCTTATATCTGAGATTTCTCACAACAAATAATTGAAAAAACTTTTCCAAAAAAGTCTGCTATAATTCAATATCCTGTAGTAAATAAATTTCTAGGTCAGCTTAAGAACTCTGAGCCTCAAGTCCATAGAGGACTCTCAGCATACCTGTAGTCAGCTAATAAACACTCATCGAATCTTACAGAACACTGTCCTAGGGTAGGCCAGTGGAATCAGACACATTTGTGTCATCAGAAGACAGGTCCTTCCATGGGAGATAGACAAGAAGGAATTAGAGAAGGAATGTTGATCACCAAAGAGAATGTTGAAAGTGCTCAGAAATCACTGCTAGCTAAAGACTAACTTCCCTTATACACTGCAGTGTGTTTTATATTTCTTATGACATGAACAACAATGAAATATTATCATCATCATCATCATCATTATCATCATCATCATCACTTAATCATCTACCCCTTACAGTTTTGACAAGAAACTATGGTGGCTTGCACATTTCTTTATGACTCCATCTGGTGGTGGGTTGCTGAGACAGGGCAGGAGCTAGGACTGGTTGGCCCAGGTGAATGCAAGACTTAGGACTGGGCCTGCGACTTTCATGTGCTCGCAACATTCCCTCACAAAAACCAACAGCTGGGGAAGAAGTCGGATGACCTTCTAAGATGAAAGGCTGAGTAGAGAGGAGGGCGAAGCTGTGTTCTAAGACCCATCCCCAACTTCAGCCATCTTGGATGTCTCATGCACTTAAGTTTTGTAATAGAAAAACTTAATTGGAACTGTTTCCACACACAGAACTTAACAGGCAATGGCATGGCCATTCATATCTCTATCTCATAGAACCAGAAGGCGGCAGAGCTGGCTACAAAACAGGCTGGGTCATGTCTGCTGGAGGCAGGTTATTTCATGGAGCTCCAGATACCTTCTTTGGTTTCTTCCCACAGCCCTGGGGGCATTGTAAAAAGCATGAGATACCTGACACCCTTGTTCAGTTTCCAGCCCCCCGGCAGACCCCTTCATTTCTTGCTAAAGGAGAGTGAGCAGGGATTGAAAGGGCCTTGAGTGATTTGACTTAGTGCCAGACAAACAAAGGCTTTTGTTTCTTTCGTCTGTCCACAGTGAGGCTAGGCACACTCACCTGAGGACATCAGCAGGACGGCCTGAAGAAGGGCGACTTCCGTGTCATCCAGATTGAAAGACGACAGAGACATGCCCAGGTCGAAGATGGCATCTGACACCACCCCAAGACCTCCGTTTTTCAGCTGGCCCCGTGTCACGGCCATTTCCCCATTCAAGGTTAAAGTCTCACTTTCTGGGTCATAGCGCACAGCGGCTCGGAGGGACATGATCTCCATGCAGCAGCCTTTGAGGAGGATGATCTGGTCTTCGCATGGCAGCTAGAAAGAAGCAGCCACATGAGCAAAGCACGGGATGGCTGCCAGCCACAAGCAGTAACATTCGACCTGTGTTCTCAGAGCCTAAGCCTCTCCTTTCCGTATTGGGTGGCAGACTTTTGACCACCACTTTTTAAACCTGAATTTGGTTGTGCTTTTCACTAACGTTCATCTTAGTACTTGGCATTCTTTTTATGACAGATCGCGGTGTCCCCCTGAAACTGTGACTAACCCTTCCTTTGGGGATTAGGCCTCTGTGTGATAACTGCATGGGAACAGGGTTTTTGCTAAACTCACTAATTTTTGTCCTGGGCCACCTAGAGTTAACAGCGGACTCACCGTTTAGCTAGCAACAATGCTTCATTTTTTGGGGGAGCAACTTTCTTTCTTGAGTCTATTCAAAGGCACAGAATTAGAAGATCATTGATGCAAACTAGAAACAAGGCCCAGAGATAGAAAAGGTTCTCCCAATGTTGCTCAGTGAGGGAAGGGCATTCGTAAGACCAGAATTCAGACTTCATGGCTCTTTTGGTTATGTTCTTTATAGTAACTGACACTAGAATTGCTTAGCACCATTAGGTCTTTTGATAGTGTTGCAATCTCACTGTAAGCTCATTTGCTTACTCTGTTAATTAGGATTTGTGATAATGGGATAAAATTAATAATAAACATTAAAAGAGAATGTCGACACGTAAGCAAGATAAAAAATAGAAATGTATTTTTCTGGGGGAGGCAGAAGTTTAAATATTATTGCCAAACTCATGTGAAAAGCTAATAACTATTTTTCATGAACTGAGCATCATGACAAGATTTACACACTTCTTTCTTTTCTGGGCTGGCTTTGAATCCTTCTCCTCAGATCTCAGCCTCTTGAGTAGCTAGGATTACAGGTGTGAGCTATTGGCACCTGAGTATAGTGAGGGAAACATTCTAATTCCAATTTACTTATAGATGTTAAATGTCAGGCCCTGAGAGGATAGTGTGCTAGAATTACATGAAAGTTTTGTAGGATTAAACTAGAAATTGAAGCCAGCTCTGTCAGAATTCAAGGCCCAGAGAAGAGAATACACTTTTTTTTTGTTGGTCAGGGAGCCTGAACTGTCAGGCTGGGTGCTGTCCCTCATCTCTTCAGCTCAAGGCTAGTGCTCTACCACTTGAGCTACAGCGCACTTCTGGCTTTTTCTGCTTATGTGGTGCTGAGGAATTGAACCTAGGGCCTCATGCATACAAGGCAAGCGCTCTACCACTGAGCCACCTTCCCAGCCCGAGAACACACTTTTTTTTTTTTTTTAAAGTATCACGGATGTGACTAAGTTTCAATGTTTCATTGATGTAAATTATACATAACATCTACCTTTTCATAAAGGTGCTAACAACTTCTTTCTGGAAAATGTTCTTGGCAATTTTGAGCTGTTCCAGTAGGTTACTGTGTAGATGAGCTGAAGCCCGATCTCCTTTGCTGGCTGTTCCTAGCTTTTACCAGCTCAGCACAGTCACCTTACTGTTTCATATTGCATATATTTTCCTACAGAATAAAAGTCATTTGGTTCTGGGATCTGTACACACATTCTCTTCTTCCACCCATGTTGAGAAATGACTGGGATTTACTTTTGTTTAGGTCTTAACTTGACCTCCTCAAATATAGCCTTAGGTTTCTGCTCAAGAGTATGGCAGGAAGCAGGAATCCGGTGCTCAATGAAGGCCTCTGCAGACAAGAGAAGAGGCTGGTGTGGGTAGAGCTGACCACCCAAGCCCCAGGTTCTCCATTTTAGCCCCTTCAGGATCATCTGAGGCCTCTTGAAGTTCACCGGCCCTACCTATGGTTGTCTGCACTTCTCCAGATTCTCAAGTAATACTTCTGCGGCAGTTATGTGGACCTTGCTATCACTGTGAGAGAGAGAGAGAGAGAGAGAGAGAGAGAGAGAGAGAGAGAGAGAGAGAGAGAGAGAGAGTGTGTGTGTTTGTGTGTGTGTCTGTGTGTGTCTGTGTGTGTGTGTGTGTATGGTACAGGGATTTGAACTCAGGGTCCTGAGCTTCCTAGGCAGGTGGCATCTACAGCCCTTTGAATTTAGTAATTTTAGTGTTTTTTTTTTCTTCCATAAAGGGTCTTGCGCTTTTTGCCTGAGTGACCCTCTTACCTCCTCCAGCATAGCTAAAAGCTTGTTCATTTGTGATGGGGTTTTGCTAACTTTTTTTGGGGGGGATCTTGGCTGGCCTACAATGGTGATCTTCCTGTCTTTGCTGCCCAAGTAGCTAGAGATTATAGGGGTGAGCTCCTGCTTGGCGCCCCCCTCCTCCCCCAGCCTGGACTGCACTCTTGAGAACCCCTGGAATAGAAGAGCAATGAAAATTTCTAATTGGATCAAACTATTTATCTGTCACAAAGTATGCAAACTCTGGTAGGCCCCACCTTTGAAATTAGGTCTTCTTATTGATGAAGTAAGTAGAAGTCTTCTTTTTTTAAAATCTAACTGTTGATGACTAGTTCATATTTAAATAAAAGCAGAATGAGTATTTGCAAAGGATCACCAGGGGCTTAGTAACTGGGCCAAATGTCTTTTTCCTTAAGGGGTTTACAGGGTCCTGATGAGATTTGTTTCAACACATGGCAAATAATCTCTGTGGCACCTGCCACACGCCTTCATTGTGAGAACAATCCAGCAAGGGCCTGACAGGCAGAGGGGAGAAGCAGGGAGCCTCCCACGGCTTTCCTGTCTCCTTAGGACAGAATCACTCAGGCTAATGTGCATAGACAGTATACTCTGGGAGTGGTTCTCAAGTGTTATTTTGGCTGTTCTACTGGCAATAGATATAGCTCTCACAGAGGCTTGCTGTCACATCAGCCTTCCTTGGTAAGTGGGCAGAATCTTAGCAGAGTAATTAATCCACAGACACAGTTTGAACTGCAGATGCACTAGACTGCATTTGGCAAAAGTCCACCAGCTCCAAGACCACCTGGATCTCCATCCCACAGTTTACTCACAATTCATTACCCTGGGGGGGGGGGTGTATAAGATTATAAGGCTGGTGGGTGCTCAGGAGTCTGGGATTGGAAATGTGTGTCTTTGCTGTTCTCTTCATCTTCCTCCTCCTCCCTCTCTCACTGAATTTTCTCTTTCAGTCGTTGGTTTATATAAGCTATATTATTATTATTATTGCTGGACCTGGGGCTTGAACTCAGGGCCTAGTGCTATACCTGAGCATTTTTGCTCAAGGCTAGTGATCTACTACTTGAGCAACAGGTCTACTTCTAGCCTTTTTTGGGTAGCTAATTGGAAATTAGAGTCTCACAGACTTCTTTTATGCCTGGGCTGGCTTTGTACCATAATCGTCAGACCTCAGCTTCCTGTGAAGCTAGGTGTGAGTCACTAGCATCCTGCTTAAACTTTACATTTTTTTTAATAAGCATTTCTGGTGGGCATTTGGAGGATGCCTGCCACAAAGACAAACTAAGGAATGATGACTAAGTAGAGAAGGTAAGGCTGAGAAGGTGCTCAGTGGTAGAGTGCTTGCCTTGTATGCATGAGGCCCTGGGTTCGATTCCTCAGTACCACATAAACAGAAAAAGCCAGAAGTGGTGCTGTGGCTCAAGTGATAGAGTGCTAGCCTTGAGCTGAAGAGCTGAGGGACATCAGGCCCCATGACTGACAGGAAAAAAAAAAGAGAGAGAAGGTGAGAAACATAAATGAAGTGTATTTCTACTTTGTACTAACTGCTTTCAAACGACTAAGCCTTGCTAGTTAACAGCAGAATTATTTATTATAAACAATAGCCACAATTCCTGGAAACTGATGGGACTATGATGACATATAATGCAGAAGGAAAAACAATGTCCTCACCTCACAAAACATAGGCAACTTTTTGGCAAAATCCACCACTCTGGTGATCGCTGGTGTGATGATTTTTGTAAAATGGCTGAAGGCTTCCAAGTCCACCTTCCCGCCTTCTGGGGCATTTACTATTGGTGCTTGTCCAATGTCTTCTGGCTGTGGAGGAGAAGCAAAAGTGACTTCAGATGCGGAGGAAAGCCTGGCTTACTATTGTTCTCACATGGCAGAAAATCACTTCTGAGTTGACGTCCAGCTATGGTTTTTGATTTCCACTTTGCCCATTAACAAATGGATTAGTTCTCACAGCATTCATTATTGAGCCAAGTTATATGTCTTGGCTATTGCTTTGGTAGTCCTCGGTAATAATGTTCACAAGATTGGTGCCGGAGAGAGAGAGAGGAAAGGAGGTAAAGAGGAGGAGGTGTGGAGAACCAGGTGTGGTGGAGCATGCATATCTGTAACCTTAGCTATGAGGGAGGTGGGGGTAGGAGGCTCATGGTCTGAGGCTCACCTGCTCAAAAAAAAGAAGCAAGAATCCATCTGAAAAACAAGCCAGGTGCCAATGGCTCACATCTGTAATTCTAGCTACTCAGGAGGCTAAAACCTGAGGATCATGGTTCAAAGCCAGCCTGACAGGAAAGTCCATGAGACTATCTCCAATTAACCACCAAGGAGTCAGAAGTGGAGTTATGGTCCAAGTGGCAGAGTGCTAACTTTGAACAAAAAAGCTCAGGGACAGCACCCAGGCCCTAAGCTCAAGCCCCAGGACTGGCACACAAAACTATTATTGAGGCAAAGCTCAAGTTGTAGAGCACTTGCCAACCAAGTATGAAGTCCTGAGTTAAAAACACTGTGTGTATGTGTGTGTGTGTGTGTGTGTGTGTGTGTGAGAGAGAGAGAGAGAGAGAGAGAGAGAGAGAGAGCTAGAAAGAGACAGAGAGAGACAGAGAGACAGAGACAGAGAGAGACAGAGAGAGAGAATATAGGAAAAGGGAGGGTAGAGACTTGGAGGTTCTATTTCTCCTAGCATAGGAGTGGCATGCATTCTGGGGGCTCTAGGTGACATTTTCAGAGTGCTGCACACTGGTGTATTAGTTTACAGGAAGTACGAACAATGTAGATTGGGGGAGGGGGTACGGGTTGGGTGTGGGCCATTCTTGCTTTGGATCCAGCGACTGGGTCTTAAGTTCCTTCTCTACCATCATAGACCCTGCTTAAAATGGTGTCAGTGGAGAGCCAAGGGGATGATCTCATGGCTGGAGTTGTGTAAGCCTCAGAACAGAATGGAAGTTTTACTAGTGTCTGCTATTTTCTTGTTCAAGAAGAATCTATGGCCTGGTAGGTCAAAGGGGATTGGCAGCGTGGGCATCACCTGGGGAAACTCCCAGGCCCTCCCTGGATGGGATGGTGCACCGTCAGCATTTCCTATTTCCTGCTGTCACTTTTGTTGCTTGTAGAAGTTGGCTTCTCTGCGGTTTTTGACCTTGCTTGTGCTTGTGACACAGCCACCACTTAAATGTGGTGGTGACTTTTGAGCTGCCCCTGCACATACTCTTAGGTGGCCCTCATTGAAGCCCACATGGGGCAGGTGAGCACATCTTACAGGGCCTGGGAGCCTTTCAGGGGGTTGTCTGTCACCCCTCCATCCCTGGACTCCTGACAGTGCACTCTAGCCTACTCTCCATGCTGTTCTTGCCAACTTCTCCAGCTTTCCTCCAGGAGGTGGTGAATGTCACTAGAGAGATCACAGAGACTCACAGCCTGCTCAGTGGTGGTCATTTTTGCTTTGAGCTACAGTGAGTAGACAGGAACAAGGCCTGACCTTCTTCAGGCACCTAGGGGATGGGGTAGGGAGAGCAACGGAGGGAGGGAAAGAGGAACTGATGCTAGGAATGAGTGGAGCAGGACACTGTTCCTCACTTATCTGTGGCAAGACCCTGGCCCCCAACTTCCTATGCTTGAGAATCACCAGATTTCCAGGCCTTTCATCCTGGTTCTGATGGGGCAGGGAAGGGCCAGAGAAACCACATTTCTGACAAGTTCGAAGGCTACATTGCAGCTGGTGTTGAGGGCATTGGACGGGCAGTAACCAAATCCAGCTCAGAAAGATCAGCATCCATCTTTCTTCCCACACATCCCATTAACTGCCAATAGGAGGAAAGCAGATGATTCTCACTGTAAAGCTGCCAGCATACCAGGGTAGACTGGAACAGCCAGGCCCTGCATGGCTGTGGGAGGAGCCTGCCTTGGCTGACTGGGAATCATGCCATATAATGTTAGCAAACACTTTGCATTATCCAGGTGGTCTTCTGTTGATTTGTATTGTTTGTTTTGAGTATGGTGAGTGGACGGGACTTGGGTTCTGTCCTGTTTTGGTAGTGAAGTGACTGGCAATGGTTGGAATGCCTGGAAAAACCATGGACACAGCTCCTCTCTCCTTTTCTGCCACTGGGGATGCTATTCCCTGCATCCTGTTATCGTGTGCATGAAGTTCGCTTCCTCTTCATGTACTTTACAAGGCTATTGTGAGGATCAGCAGCTAAAAGGAATGTGGTACATTCTAAGAAACTCACTAATATGTAATTGTAGGACCATTTTTAGAGAATAACATGGTTTGGGCTTAGCTGATCCAAATGTCTCCCGGTGGAATACGGTTAGGTCTAATCTGATTGCATTTGAATGGCAAATACAGTGTCCTCAAGAGTTAAAATGGATTTGTAATCGTTTCCATTCCATCTGTGGGTACATATGGTATTTCAGTCATGACCTGTGATCTCTCCAAAGATTTTTTTTTTGGGGGGGGGGGTCCGGTCGTGGGGCCTGAACTCTGGGCCTGACCCTCAGCTCTTCAGCTCAAGACTAGCATTCTACCACTTGAGCCACAGCGCCACTTCCAGCTTTTATTCTTTTTGCTTATGTGGTGCTGAGGAATCGAACCCAGGGCCTCATGCATGCAAGGCAAGCGCTCTACCACTGAGCCACCTTCCCAGCCCCCTCTCCAAAGATTTGAAAGAAGTGAAATTATGCAAGGAAATAAGGCAACTTCAACTGAAGTAAGGTCTCAGATATCACTTTACAAACTTTTCCATTGATAAATATGTCAGGGCAGGAAAAAGTTCATTATGAATCTTAAGTGGCAAATATAGTGGCTGAACGTCAAACTATGTATAGAGTAAAAACCTTCCTTTATATCATTAAGGTTTCTTTCCATAGTGGATCTCAGAAATAGAAAAAAAGGGGAAATCCGAAATAGAAAAAAAGGGAAATCTATGCATGAACAGGGTGTAATACCAGGGATGGGGAGCTTTGTTGTGACAGCTCCCCCGCCCCCGGTTTACACCTATAAGGACAACATATAAATGAACTCCGTTACTCTGTTCGCGATCTCCCTATGAAGCTCTTACAACTCTCACCCTAACTTCATTCCTGCACCATATATGTCCCACATTTCTTCTGTAATTTGCCTTACATGTTCCACTTTGCCTTTTTCTGAAGCCTCCCCCCCCACTTCAGTCTCTCCTATGTCTTTACCCCAGAATCTACACCATTCTCTAGACCCAACTTAAGTCCTGTGTTATAGATATCTTATCAGATGACCTTAGTTCAAAATGTCTACCTCACCTGAATACATGTATCCTGCCCATGGTGTTAAAAATATCACTTTGTATTTGTAGGTAGTTATACATCAAAGATGAACTTTTCAAATGGAGGAGAAAAAGAGTGAATGTGTGTTTGCTGTTGTGTACAAGGTGTTGGGCCAAATAGCAGGGGACAGAAAGCTTACTGAGTAGGGAAAACAATGTTTATTTATTCCACTTGTATTTCCTGAGCAAGTATGATGGGGCCAGGTGTAGATCTAGATGGTAAGATTATAGCAGTGAACAATGTATCATCAAGGAACTTGCAGTGTAGTGGGGAAAGCCAGGCAATACATACATTCACTGAAGTGTTTCAGTTTGGTAAGCCTGCAGGTGACCTAAGTAAAGAGTTGGGTTAAGGTCAAGTCCTCTGAGAAATGTGTGGGTTTTGACTGGAAGAATAAAAGGGAAGCCTTCCATACAGCTGCAGGAGAAACATGTAAAGCAGAGGGGAAAGAAACAAGTGCAAAGTCTCAAGGCCAGGAAGGACAGAACTGGTAAAGGCCAACAATGGCATGAGATTGAGGTGGGAGCTCATCAAATTGGATGGGGAGATAAACTTAATCTACATGCAGAAGGGGTCCACAAAAGCACTGAAAATGAGAGAGACGTGGGGAGATTCATTACTGTGTGGGAAGGGCTGTGGCAAAGAAAGAATCTGGGGAAAAAAAAACTTGAGAGAAAACTATAAGATGATTTCAGTGCTTTTGGACGTTGTGCTGCTTTGCTCAGCTGAAGTGGGCTGGACTATGGAGTTGGAAGTTCAGATGGACAGGAACGGAAGACAATGTTTTGCAGAGGGTGGGCGAAGATGAGCTGGATGTGGATTAAGGAATCCAGAGTGGCTTCTCTGGCCAGTGGGGGTGGAAGAGGACCATGTAAGGCAGAGGGCTTTCTCCTTTAATGGTTTTCTCAGCCTTGTTCTAGAGCAGTAGGAAATGCTGCCAGACGGCTTTGGGTCAAGTGACTGGCTCAGTGCCAAGGGCTTCTTGGCTTGACCTGGTAGTTCTCTGTCACAGGCAGAGTGGGCTGGGGCCAGATGGACTCTGCCTTTCCCCTGCTTGTTCAGTGGGTGTCTTCTTGAATTTGGGCAGGGGGCCCAGACAAATGGGGATTCCAAGTCCTGGGCCTTGAGACATGATTCTGGATGCTTACTTTTCCTGAGATCTGAAGGTGGTCATGGTAGGGATTGATGTGTGAGGCACTATTGGATCCTTTCTTTTACTCTGATACCATTTGATAAGGGCCCAAGACAACTGAGCCTTAGATAGGTGATGTAACTTGCTCGTGGGCACACAATTAAAAAGCAATTGCTGACCCAGGCTGTCTGGTTCCAATGTCTATCCTCTGATCTAGTCTCCCCTGCATTCTCTGAAGTCATAACTTGATTGCACAGACCACATGTGGCCAAATCACTCATCATCCTGATCCTCCCTTCAACGTATGCCTCTCTTATGGGAAGAAGAGAATCAGGCAGTGATTTCTTTCTTGGGTAGTACATGCACCCAAAGCCATGGCACCTTTGCATATGCACTGGGAGAATAGTAGTGTCCACAGATGGTAAGACTAGTAGTGTCCACAGACAAGATTGTGGCTGATGCTTTGCTGCTCCTGGGGGGCACAGGGGCAAGTTCCCCTCCCCCCAGATGAGCAGGATGGCTTTTCCTTGTTTGGCATCAGAGCTACTTGCTTCCTCCTTAGCCTACTTCTTTTCTTCATCACTGTTTACATATACAAATTGTTGATAAAACTGGGCATTTCTGCCATCTCAAGTCCAGAGATTGGAGTAGAACACTAGAATTTGGCATGATTTAAAGGTTTGGGGGAATATTTTCTATAGCATGGCTTTAGACTTATGAGGAAACTCCACGTGGGCTTTTGCAAAAGTTCCTCATTTTTCGCTAAAGTATCATTTTCCCAAAGATAGATGTGAAACTGAGGTTAAGCCACCCATCTTTCTCTGATTTGAATCTTGGTCTAGGAGAAAAATGACAGAGTAGCTTCTTTTGGGAAGAGGCTACTTACCCATTAATGTGTACTCCTAGCTTTTACGAGAGCATATACTTTTTATTCTTGTGTGACAGGTTATTATATTATTAATGTAATAGCCTTTTCAAAAAAGTTATTTGAGAAGAAGGTAGAACATCACCTAAAAATGAAGTAAGTAAGTGCAGCGGCCTCTTCTGCCCAAAGTTACCTTCTGGCATACAGACACCATTGAGCAAAGCTATCTCTAGGTAAGGATTCTGAATTTCCTCAGAGGAATAACTCCCCAAAAGAGTACAATTTTCATTTTGGGCATAAATATACAATCAGAGTCACTCCTCTGCACAGAGTACCTGTAAATATGCAAACTAGCCAGAGCTTAAATGTGCTCTCTGAGGATGGGCTTGTGAGACTGTAGGTTCAGTTTCTAAGTATTTATGAAGTCTGTTCTGGTTATCTATCGCAATATAACTACGCCAAAGCCTAATGGCTACAATTTTAGAAAGCTATCTCCCAGAGTTCTACGGACTTATGACGCTGCTGGAGTGGGGCTCTTCCTGGCATTTCCCAGACAGCTGCCATCAGATGGCAGCACAGGCTGGTATCACTGAAGGTTTTGCTGATGTCTGAGTTGGTTGGGAATCTCTCCTTCTGCATGTTCTGCCTTGGTTTCCTCTGGGTGGGCTCTGAGCACTTGGAGGCTGGGGAAGTCAAATAAGATTCCAAGAGACCCAAGTGGGAACAGCAAAGCTTAAACTCGAGTCTGATGCCACTCAGGCATCTTTCTGGCCCAATTCGATTGTTTAAAGGAATCAGACTTGCCACGATTCAAGGAGAAAGAGTGACAGGAATTCTCTATGGGAGAGTATGTGATAGTAGCAGCTTCTGAAGTGACCCACAAGGCAGGGCTGGCCCTGAGGGAGTGTGGTCTCTCTGAAGGACATACAGGATGTAGGCTGAAAGGGTGACTGGCTGCTGGAAAGCAAACACATTGTGGAGACAGATGGGACAGTGGAGCCTGGTTCCGCCAGCATGCCTCTAAGACTGGAGACTGTTAAGCAGTTATATTTCGATCAAGAGGGACAATTTCGTGTCAGTTCCATGGGTGGAAGGAGAGGGACAGGTACAAAAGTTGCTCGGCTTCCTGAAGAAAATTCTTGTCATGGCTCTGACACAGAGCAGTACAAATTGCTCTGTGATCTACCTTGTTTCTTTAGGTATTGGACCAGTGCCAAAGGCCTTTGAAAGTGTAGACCTTGAGGTTGATGCTCATTACTTGACATTGTGCTGTCTCTGCTGAGACCTGGAGGTATGGAGAAATTTGTGTTCCATTTTTTAAAAATGAATTTGGATGCTCAGCTTCCCTATATATCGCTCAGATGTCAGCTCAGAGATCCCTTTTCTCTCTCTAGACGATTTGATTATTGGAAGGGAATCTCTATCTTCAGTTCACAAACACTATTGCCTTACTTGCCTGCATTTATCTCATTTAACCCTAATTGTCTGTCTCCTGCCACTGGAATGTGGCTGATTTACTTCCTGGCACCTTCTTAGTAAATATTTCAGTCTGGAAAGAAGCCCCTTTTAGTAACTACCCAAACTAGTTTTGGACTTTTAATGTATCCATCCTGTCTCTGTGAGTAAAGAAAATAGGTATAAAATTCCCTAGGAGACGTCTGGGGCATGCCCTGACCTTTCTCCTGCATGTAACTCAGCTGGGATTCCAGTGCCAGGTTATTCCATGAAACCTGAAGGTAACAACAGACTGGAAATGATTTTTTTTCCTGGCGCAATGGATTTAGGTTGGAGGGTTACAGGGCTTGGTCTTGCTTGCTAAGTCCTAAATATGTTGGGTTAGCCATGAGTCCATTGGTCCAAAATGAATGTTTTTGAATTTTCTGGCAAGGATGCAAGGTAAAGGCATTAAGAGGTCATCTTGGTGTCTTTCGGCGACCTCTGAGGCTTGGGTAGGTGGTGAGGCTGCTTAGAGAAGTGAGCAGAGCCCAGACTGAAGGTGGCTGTACTCTCCACACAGCAGGTGTGAAAATCCTGCTGTTATGGGGAGATATTGCTGTATTTGTCATAGGGTTGGTGGGGGGGCTTAATGTGTGGACAGCACTTCGACGTGCTAGGCTAAGGGTTTACTGTGAGTGAAGGCCATTAGCAGAGGGTTAGCATTGTCTTTTCAATACCACAAAAATGAAGGTAGTTGTCTTAGGGCAGGTGAATTATGGTGCAAGCTTTTTTTTCTCTCCCCAATCTTCCTTTCAAGTAGTTATTCTATTGTTTTTAGCTTATCACCCTACCTCCTTAAGATGAGGAGGAACTCTGACATGTCCTGGAGGGAATCAGACCATCGGAGCAGGGCTTGGTGAGGTCCCGTTCACGGGCTCACAAAGGGCTTCGCATCCCCCATGTAGGAGGATCCGTCTCTGCCCTATCTGGTCCAGATAATGAGGCAGAGAGAGAGAGAGCTTGCACTCAGGAGAACTGACTTGGCTTCTGGGCCAGACACTTGCCATACCTTGGGCTGGGCTTGCATGGCTCTGGCATCTGGACTTCGCAGTGCTTTAAAGGAATGAGAAGGGCTTCCCTAGTTTCACAGCACTATATAAAGCATCAGTGTTCCACAGGTGTGGAAAGGTCTGTTTTCTCCACTGGCTCCCTTCCCCACCCCCATGCCCATTGTTTTCCTGAACTCATATGCATTCTTCCAAGCTGAAGACATAAAAATATACCTGAGGTTGGGGCCTGTATCATAGAGGTGGTCCTGAAGGGACACACCACCATGGAGAAGCACAGAAGGTAAGTCATTGTACAGTCACAGGAGGGAGGAAATGAGTGTCAAAGGGAAAGCTGGCAGGTAATGAATTCTGCTAAGTAGTTGGGTTTGAAGACCTTTGCTACAGCAGTAGTAAGCTAATGTAACCTGGTCTTGGAAACTATTTTTTTTTTTTTGGGGGGGGGGTCCGGTCGTGGGGCCTGAACTCTGGGCCTGGGCATTGTCCCTGAGCTCATTTTTTCTTTTCTTTTCTTTTTTTTTAGAGTGACTTACTTTTATTTATTTATTTTGGGGGGTCCGGTCATGGGGCCTGAACTCTGGGCCTGGGCACTGTCCCTCAGCTCTTCAGCTCAAGGCTAGCTAGCGCTCTACCACTTGAGCCACAGGTCCACTTCTGGCTTTTTTCTTTTTGCTTATGTGGTGCTGAGGAATCGAACCCAGGGCCTCATACATGCAAGGCAAGCGCTCTACCACTGAGCCACCTTCCCAGCCCTTGGAAACTACTTTGAAAGTCAGTGAATCATAGTGCAAATAGGAGTGGCTATTCTGTCTCTCACAGACCTGCTTCCAATCACAGCGCTGCAAGATTTTTTTACCCTTCTTTCTCCTCTCTCCCCTCCCCTTCCCATCTTTTCCTTTTCTCCCTTCTTCCCATTCCCTCCCCTCTGTCTTTCTTCTTCCCCCTCTCTCTGATCTAGTTTATCCATGGCTCAAATGGAGCAGAGAGAACAGCAGCCCAGGGTTAGGAGGCCAATCTGAGTTGAGTGGGAACCACTGGACTGAGCATAGAGCCAATGAGAGCTCTGCAGGGAAGCCTTACCAGAAATTTCCGTTTCTGCTTCCAGTGGCTGCCCTGGGCATTGGTGGCCACGTGTGCTTCAGTCACGGTCTTGATGAGCTCCCACTCCTCATCTGTGGGCTCCGGCTTGTGCCCTATGGATTTCTGCAACTCCTCCCGCCGCCTCTTCTCCCGGTTCTCCTCTATCAGCTTCCTCTTGGCCAGCCTCTTGCTGTCATCCAGCACCACTGGAGAAAGGAGAGGTGAGATGCACACGGAAGCTTGCAAGACACCTGGCGGATCACACACGCCACAGCCTGGCTGGCACTGAGGCATGGGAGTTCAGTCACTTTCCCCCCCTCTGACTATTCTCTGTCCAATGGGAGCCTAGTTCCCAAAGCCCAGCCAGCTTTTAAGAGAAAAGCTCTGAGGGAACTTGAATACCGGGTGCCTCAACTCCACTGAAGGCGGCCACAAACAACAGTGAAGCAGAGAGAGGTAGAATTAAGTCCGTACCATTCAGTGTCACAGGTTGACATGTCTACTCATCATCTGGATTCACTCTCTAGAGTTGTTCTTCCCTCTTCCCTTAGAATGGCTCTCAGGGAGGAAATTTCACCTTTTATGGCTCCCTCTAGCTCACTGTGATGTGGCTGAGCCTCTCAGGTACCATCTTTATATTAGATTTGGGATTGAATCCTGACCCTCTGTGAAATGAGAGCGATACTACCCCCTGCACATGGCATGCAATATGATAACGCACTCAAGTGCTCAGTAAGTGTAGCCACAACTTTTATCATTTGTACAAAAGGGAACAAAGGAGAGCAGGTAACAAGAAACCTATATTTCTATGGCTAATTTCCTAAACAAAACCATTCCACCAGACTTGTGACTACAATGGAAATGGTTTTATGTTACCCAGTCATCACATTTTAGAGTCAAAAGGGGGCTTAGGCATTACAGTTCATCTCTTTCCTCTCACAGATCCAGAGAGGTCAGAAGTTGCCTGAAGTTATACAGCAAGGCCCAGGACTCCAGTTCCTCCCTGTCATTATCGTATGGCCATTCTACTGATGACTAGCTCTCCTCAGCTGTCCCGCAAATAGAATATTAGACCCCAGAGAAGCTAGTCTGAGTTGGATGGTGAGAACTATGTAAGCATTTACAAATGTGGGAAGTACAAGTGAACACTATTGCACCTGGGCTGTCTTACAGAAGGAGAATTGTAGCTGCAGCCTCATTTCCCCAGATACTTCCATTGTATCAGAGGGTGTTGCACTTGCACTTGATATGTTATCCAATTTAGTCTTGGACACAACCAGCTACGGCTTCATTCTAGAGGTCACACAAGTAGTAAGCGCGAGACTCAGAAGTTTTTCTGATTATAAACTCTGAGCTCTTAACCTCACAAACAAGGACACCCACACTCTTTGTACACAGCAGACTAACCTCATAAACACTTATATCTTAACCTTCTTGGTGAAATGGATGTCCAATAATAATGGCTCATTATTAGTGACATATCTAAGCATTTGGTTCTGAGCTGTACAATCACATATCAGGAACACTGTTGGCAAAAGCCACAGTCTCTAAAGATAACGAACACACTCAGCCGGAGGTAGGCTAAGATTTCCAGCCTAACATCCTAATAATAACACAAGTCTCTTCCAAGACTCTCCATTCTATTTTCCTATTTGGGCAAAGGAGGACATTCCATGGATGTTTTTGTTCTCTCCAAGAAACTCCTATTTATCACACAATTGCTAGTCATGAGTATTTCCTCTTCTATCAGGGAGGAAAAATGCTTTAACTCCTTACAAAAATTTTAACTCCTAGTTGGAAGCCCTCGTTTGTGTGCAAAAATTTATGGCAATAAAAATCATTAATATACTCTTGGCCTGGCAAGAGAGGGGCCATACCTTTCTAGTGACATGATTCTTTTTAAGATTAATTGAAGTGACTGGTGTACATCTCCTGCAGTGTCTGGGAGAAGAGACCCCCTAATGGCGAATCTTCCCCAATATGTGGTACTTTGAAAATTGGGTAGAACTGATTCAGCTCCAGTGTTGTCAGCTAAAAATATAACAAGCAGTCAACTGAGGGATGACTCATGTTGTAACATTCAACAGGGAATTCTTCAGATATTGCCAAACACCATGTTTTCTGCCAATGACCCTCTCAAAAAAAAGGTCCATAAAATTAATTCCTGAGTATGCTTTTGAGAAAATAGGAAGACTAGCCCATGAGTCTCTCACCAAAGTATAACCTTACATTGCTAACCTTCTGCCCTACCATCAGCCCTTAGAACCTCTGAGGATTAGGAGATGGTATGGAAGCATTCTGCAGGAGGTAAGGGGTGGGGAAAGCCAGTATTCCCCTCACTGTCCTCCAGTTCCTGATTTTTTTTTTCCCTGCCTGGCTGATCTTGAACCAAACTCTTCCCCAATCAACGCTCCCTGAATACGAAGCAAATGAAATCTACTTACAATCCGTTGCCATGCCAACATAGATGCATTTCTTAAAGCGACATTCCTGGCACTGATTTCGAGTGACTTTGTCTATGACACATTTTCCTTCATATTTGCAGGAATAGGATGGATGGAGATTTTTCTGAATGGTTCTTCTAAAGAAACCCTATATGGGGGAAAAAAGGCCCAAAACAACAGTTTCATATTTTCTAAAAATAAGTGATTCTGTAGTTTGGTGTCCACATAATTAATATATAATGGTCTTGGACTTCAATGTGTTAGGACCTTAATTTGAATATATCCAGTTATAGCCTCAAACATAGGACAGTAAGCCCAATGTAAACTGAAGGTGTTGTCTCAAGACTGTAGGGTCAACGTATTTTTGATGTTTGTTCAAGAAAAATGTCAAAGGAAGAATTGAGTGCTTGTATTTCTATATTATATATTGAGTGATAATATATTATTTGGAGTTTCATAATTATGTTGCTAACTAGAGCTGTGGGCACAAATACTTTAATAACTTTACCAGTAGTTAAACATTTAAAAATTACTGCATTTAGACATTTTGATTTTTTGTTTTGACTCTGGACATGGTTGTGACCAGCCACTATTCAAATAAGAGTTTGCAGGGGGGTAGGTGTAGGGATAGGGGGTGGGATTCTATGTTTTCTACCCAGAACCTTAGCTTAGTGAATCTGGGATTTTCTTCTTATAACTGTCTTTTCTTCCAGTATCTATAGACCTACCTTCAAGCTCCATGCTTCTCTTTTTCTTTCTGATGCTATTTGGTTCTAGATCTGAGCCACGGACATTAATATTCTCAAGGGTGTTATGCTGGATCTTTCTGGACATGATCACCGGGTCCTAGCACCTGAACTCTGACTTGCAGCAGCAGGAATTGATAATGACAGCAAGCACTTGTGAGGGGCACAGTACTGCAAAGAGTGCTGCAAAGCCATTCACATCTTTCTATCTTCCAGACGACATTATGAACAAGATACTCAATGACATAATCAACGAAACAAAGGACTAAAATACCAAGCCCAGCCTCAGACTAGAAGGTGGACTGGGATCCTGAGCTTCTTTTGCTCAAGGCTTAATGCTCTACCACTTGAGCCACAGAACCCTTTCCAGCTTTTTCTGTGTATGTGGTACAGAGTAATTGAATCCAGGGCTTCATGCATGCTAGGCAAACACTCTACCACTAAGCCACATTGCTAGTCCAGTCCCTTGATTTTTTTTTTGTCAGTCATGGGGCCTGAAGTCTGGGCCTGGGTGCTGTCTCTCAGCTCTTCAGCTGAAGGCTAACACTCTACTACTTGAGCCACAGTGCCACTTCTGGTTTTCTGAATAGTTTATTGGAGATAAGAGTCTCACTGACTTACCTGCCCGGGCTGGCTTTGAACCAAGATCCTCAGATCTCAGCCTCCTGAGTAGCTAGAAATACAGGCGTGAACCACAGGTGCCTGGTTCCCTTGATTTTTAATAATGAGGAAAATTAGCTCCTAAGAGTAAATGTCCATCTACTTAAATCCTTTTAGGGGTTGAGAACTTAGTGATAGAGCATTTTCTTCGCAAGCATGAGGTTCAGACATCCTGAATAAATGAGGACTTGTTGATGAGCAGACTGCATGTATACGTCAACATCAGATGGATTTCTGCACATCTGAGGAGGAACTGGGTCTATTTCTCAGTGGTTGAGACACAGTACTAACTGGAAGTACAAGGAGTTAAGCACTGCCCACCTTGCTCAGTATGTGCACAACTGTTAAGCCTGAGTCTTTCTTAGGAAAGAGTGTATTATGGAGCAATGTGATAAACCTTCCTTTCAAATTAAAAAACCTTTCTTCTTACAAAAAATGCATTAAAAAGCTAGTATGTATCACAACAGAGAAAATATCTCCAGAAGATTTCATTGGGCAAAGATTCTACCCATACATATTGTTTGAAGTAGAATAATTTTTTTTTTTTTTTGTCAGTTGTGGGGCTTGAATCTGTGGGGTTTGAGTGCTGCCCCTGTGCTCTTCAGCTCAAGGCTAGCGCTCTACTGCTTGAGCCACAGCACCACTTCTGGTTTTCTGAAGATAAGAATCTCACCGACTTTACCTGCCAGGGCTGGCTTTGGGCTGCAATCCTCAGATCTCAGCCTCCTAAGTAGCTAGGATTACAGGTGTGAGCCACCAGCGCCCGGCAGAAGTAGAAGTTTTAAGTTTCAGGTTTAAATAGTACAGGAAGCATAACCTTGTGTGTTTCATTTTATTTTATTTCTAAATTTTATTTGAAAAACCTTTATCTCTTCCTAGGATGCTCTGTTTTTTGTTTTTGTTTTTGGTGCTGGTTCTGGGGCTTGAATTCAGGGTCTGCACCCTGCTCAAGGCTAATACTCTATTAAATTGAGCCATAGTTCCACTTCATAGTTAGTTCCACTAATTATTCTGGTTAGTTGAAAGTAAGTCTTATCGACTCTCCTGCCTGAGCTGGCTTTGAACCAGGACGCTTAGATCTCAGCCTTCTGATTAGCTAGGATTATGGGTGTGAGCCACTGGTGTCAGGCCAGAGGCTCTGTTTTTATACTAAGTAAGTATACTCTGTCTCTGGCCAGGCCCTTTCTTGTTTTATGTTGGAGGCAATCTAGAAACAGGATTCTGATTGGCAACAAAGACACAGAGATGGAAAGACCTAATTTTAAAGAAAATCTCAGTTAAGGGACCAAAGGTGATGGTATAAGCCGGTAATCCTGGGCATTTGAGAGGTAGAGATAAGATAATCATTTCCCAAGGCTGGCCTGGGCAAAAGTGTGAGACCTTATCTAAAACAAACTAAAGCCAAAAGGGCTGGGATTGTGGCTCAAATGGCCGAACTCCTGCTTATCAAGTATGAGGCTTTGAGTTCAAACCCTCATACCACCAAGGAATAAAAGTGTGGGAGAGAGATAAAGAAAATAAATCTCTCAGCTGAATCAGGTCCCCAGATACTGTTGGTCCTCGCAGAGATGCTTGCTGAGTTCAGTTGAGCATGTTTAAGAGGCTCAGTCCTCCCTTTGTTAAGGATAATTGCTGGTAGTGCATTCAGTCAGTCTGTAGAGCCACTCTGGGGAGTTAAGTATGAAATAGACATTTTACTAGATTCTCTCCCAGAACTCATCATTTATCCTAAGAAACTGATTTAAAAGAATTTTAGTGTTGTCCAACCAGGTAAAGACTTATGAATTGGTGCTAACTTAGAAACAAAAAAGAAAAAGGCCATTTTCAATTACTGGGCTTTGGGAATGAGAGAAATATACCTAAAATTACAGAATTTTATTAATTTCACATCAAACCAACAAACTGCTTTCAACAGAGAGTCTGCTAGTCTCCTAATGAATAGCCAAGGTTTACTTGTAATCAGCTTGTATAAACCCCTGCAGACATTATTTTCAGAGCCATCATAGCAAGCAACCTTTAGTCTAGTCTTTGTTATAGAACTGCAAATTGCGGATCTAAGGGATCTGGATGAATGGGAAGTTTTCATCATATTGCAGAGAAAAGGCCTTGGAAACCCAGAAATGAGTTCAGTTCTTAGGTGGGCTAGGGAGGAGGGAAAGTGGAGTTGTACTAAATTTTTTAGGGAAATTTTTGCTTTAGGGCTAACATCTCTGTACATAAAGTTATTGGCCTGCCAGGATTAAATGTACATGCTATGAAAGAGCTCCACCATTCATTTATGTCCTCAGCCATTGTTTTTGTTTGTTTGTTTGTTTGTTTGTTTTTGGCCAGTCCTGGGCTTGAGCGCTGTTCTTGAGCCTCTCTGTGCTCAAGGCTAGTGCTCTACCATTTGAACCACAGTACTATTTCTGGCTTTTTCTGAGCAGTTTATTGGAGATTAAGAGTCTCATGGACTTTCCTGTCCTGGCTGGCTTCCAACTGTAATCCTCAGATTTCAGCCTCATGAGTAGCTAGGATTTGTAGGCGTGAGCCACTAGCCCCCAACTAGCCCTTGTTTTTTTTTTTTTTTTTTTTTTTGAGACTATCTCAACTCTGCAGATCAGACTGTCTCTAAATGCAATATAGTCCAGGCTGGCCTCTAATTTACAATCCTCCTGCTCAGCTCTCTAAGCGCTGAGATTATAGCATGGCTCTGATAAGTAAAATTAAAATATAAGAGGCAAATGCAACATCCCACAAGAAAATAATCACCCTGACTTGAAGTACATCTTCATCCTCATCCTCATTCATTAAATACTGCCGGAATGCTGAGTAAAGCATGCAATTAAACTTTTTTTTAAATGCTTATGACAAATTATTTTCTAGTCTAGGTTGAGGGGCAAGAGATATTTTTCATAAAGCTTAACTTTTTCAGTAGGATTCTTTTTAGCCTCCCTTTGGAAGTGACTGGAATGGTATGTTCTTGTCAAGTTATTTCCACAAGAAAGGTCTGCAGAGAACAGAATTACCTGGTGGATGACTAGGATATATTTAAGGCAGATTGCACAGAAAGCCACTTTGGATAAGTTTCAGAACATAATTGAACGTAAATATCCTCCAAGAGATTTCCTAAGGGAACCCTTAAAGATGGGCCAGCTCATGCAGATTCACAAGGGAAAAGAGCCTGCAAAAGATCAGACCCTGGCTCCTCTATAGACGAAAGCAGGAGAAGAAAATATGTACTGTAATGATAAAGATACAGGCTTTTTAAAACCAAAACTCTTACTAATTTCATGTTATTCTCTGTACAAAAGCTACTTAGAAAGGTAAAGAAACCAAACATCACATTCTAGCAATGTTTCATGTCTTTGCTTATGATTTGGGCTAAAGAAAATTTAGATCTTGACCACATCAGGAATGAAGAGTGACACTGACCCCTGGGTGATCTCAGGCCATGACTGCTGACACTTGGTTTCACATCAAGTACTGGTAGAGCCCTGGGAGGGGATCGGGACTGGGCAGGGATCTGGGTGCTGCACACATGGGCACTTACCTTACAGCCTTCACAGGTGATGCAGCGGTAGTGATATCCTGTAGCCTTGTCCCCACACACAACACAAAGCTCGTCTTTGTCTAAGTAGCTGGGGATGTACCCTGTGAGAGAGGTACAGAGAGAACAGTGAAAAAACACCACCATGGGAAAAGATACACCATACCCCTTCTCATCTCCTGGCCAGGAGCAAGATGGTTTGCTAAGAGGAGGATGACGATAGAGAAAGACTTAATGAAATCAAACAATTGGCCAGTCCTTGACTTCAGAGTGCTGGAGCCCCTGGTCCAGAATCTGTGCACTGGGCAGGGGGAACAACCAGGAAGACTCAGGGTCCCATGAAGCAAGTTGATTTGAAACTGCTGCTATGCCCTGAGTCATGTATGGCACAATCTCATTCATAAGGCTATTTTCAGAACTTGTTCTTAAAAGACTATCAATGTTAGAGTTGAGTCACCCCGTGCAATGAACTCAGAAACCTTCAGAGCTGGAAAGATTCTAGGAAATCTTTTAAGCATTTCTGAAGTAAAACAACAACAACAAATGGCCTTGGAAGAGGACAACTGGGGGAAAGTAAAAGAGGGGGTAAATTGTCCCCAAAATAGAAATATACTCATTACTTGACTTATGAAATGGTAGCTCCTGGTACAATCACTTAATAAAATTATTTAAAAAATCCTGGCGTTGGGTGGGGGGGGTGGGTTGGTCTCTACGGTACTACTGAAAACTATCAAACAGATGGAAACCCAGAGTTCTTAATTTCTTGTATCCAGGGTAAGTGTTGCTGATCTTTTTCTTAAATAAGATGTTTAAAGCAGAATAAACTAGGCCATCTAAAACTTTGTGGCCAATTTGAGATATTATCATATATACTTCCAACACCATAGTAGTCCAAAATAATGGAGTCACAATTCCCTTTGTTAGTTTAAATTCTTGTACCCAGGACACTGACATATAAAAACAAATATGTGAACTCCTTATTTTCCACTGGTCACTGTTTTTTCCTTGTATGCAGAGAGAATATCACACCCCAGAAACATCTTCTAATGGGCCAGTTTGGTTCAAGGAACCAATACTTTACTACAAAGGCAAGTTTTAGATTAAGTCCAAAAAGTCAAAGCAGGACATGATTTCTTGGGATGGGAATGAGAGAAAGGCTGAGCAAAACTTTTCTTTTCCCCATCATGGTGCTTCGGAAGTTATTTATCTCAGTAAACTTCTCCTAGTTTGAACTGATTGGTTAGGCTGAATTGACTGATGACTTACTGTATTCTTTACCATGACATTTTCCTAGAGCTTTTGTTAAACTCAATCACTGAAGGCTCACTTTGCAGGAAACAAAATCCGTAAAGAAAACAGAAGAAAGGCAATTGTTTCCATGATTTGTTAGGAACTACTTTGCTGAAGCTTCCATTTAGAAAAGTGTTACTTCCTGGATGGCAGATAAATGACTTCAGCATGAGAGTCAGTAATGTGCAGGATTATATTTTTAAATATCACAGTTTTTCTTAGTTTACTTTTTGCATCAGGCAAACCATGATTCATCTGTTGAGTTTACTTCAAAGTTTCCAAAACTCCCATCAGACATTTTAAAAACGAGGATTCTGGGAGGAAAAACAAGGAACTGCAATCGTTTATGTGTTCAATCACTCACTATTCAAGAAGTCAACAAACATCTATTTAGCATATGTTATGTGCTAAGCACTTTGGAAGACACTTTGGAGAATATAAAAATGAATGAAACATGGTCTTTGAGAACTGTATAAAGGATCGAGTTCTGTTTCTCCAGCTCCTTCCTACTTAGAGAGAAATGACTTACACCCTTTTCTCACTTACCTCTGAACCCAATGTTTGATAGTTCCAAAGTCTTTATAGCTTGTGTCTGGGGGCACCTTCACCAGAGTTGGGGCAGCACGGGAAATTCACCTGCCCATCCTCATCCTTACCACCCATGATGGCTTTAGCTTTTGGAGTTGGAGGTAGAACAATGAAGTTTTCCTTCTATCTGGGACTCAATAATTTATTTAGGTGTAGTTCAACACCGAAAGGTTCTTGCGAACCTTGGAACCCAATGCTAACTCAGAATGTGGAATAAGCTCCTTTCATATTCTGGCAGTTAGGGAAACAATGGTTTGCTTTTCTCTCTTGTTTTTCCTAGATTATTTTCTTGGTGGGTGGAGGTGATTAAATGTCTTCAATCATCCCACCTTTTACACAGCTGTCTACTTGTGTTGGTGGCAGTTGCTTACATGATCCTACTCAACCCACCACCTTCTTTTCACTGCAATATAAATGCAGAGACAGTCATTGTATTTAACTAAATCAGTCAGCGCAAGCAATGATACATCAATCATCATGCCTCAGTCCATTATCCACTGCGAAATAACTTCTGGCAGGAAATAACACTCTCCCCAACCCCCGTCATGGCTAGGTTAGTCGGGGATTCTTTTCAGGTACTAGGTGCACCTGACAGCATCATAAAAGATGGCCACATTTTGCTGTTCTATTTCAGGGTCTTTCTATTCCCAGAGCAGTCACATGCTGCCCCGTATGCTCTGCAAAGGGAAGTGGAACATTAGTTCGTTCCATTGCCAAGTGTGGACACTAAAGGGTATCATCACATCAGTCTGTCTAGAAACAGGACAGCCTTGCAGCCACACTGCACATGTGAGAAACTGTGTCCACATGTTGTCCCAAGGGACTGCTAGGAAAGCTTAGCTAATCTCAACCCCCTCCCCCATCCCTTCAGGAAAACAGTTGAGACTCAAGACAAGATATGATTCTTTAAGGTTGATGTATCTTTGCCATCTTCTATCTGCTCAAGTGCACTTTTCAGACCAGTGAACTCTGCTGCCACCTAAGCATATTTTTATGAAAGCAGTCTGCTTGTCCCACAAAGGACCTGAGATGTTGTTTTTAGTTGGCATTCGGAAATGTCAAATTAGTTAAGTCTTATCTTGCATAAAAAAATAGGTTGACAAGATAAAACATTAACTTCGTGGTTGGTGGTGGTGTTAGGGTTTTGAACTCAGAGCCTAAAGTTTGCTAGGCAAGTGCTCTGCCACTTCAGCCACACCACCAAGCCCTATTTGTTTTAGTTTGTGTTTAGACAGGATCTTCTGCTTTTTCTCACCTCTGTCTCTCAAGTTGCTGGGAACTACCATGTCCAGCTGACTTTAGAACCATATTTTTGGTTAGAATTTTATAATTCACAGGCTGTACAATTAAATAGCTTTTAATACTCCCACAGAGCTTGCCAATCATTACCACTATCAATCTTAAAACATTTTGATCATCCCCAAAGAAACTTCATAGCTTTAGGAGTCACTACCCCATTCCTCTCATCTCCTCCACCACTTCTGCCTTAGGCAATCACTAACCTATTGTCTATACAAATTTGTCTATTCTGGACATTTCAGAAAAATGCCATCATGCAATATGTGGTCTTTTGTGACTAGCTTATCACTTAGTTTAAGGCAGGGTCTTACAGATGGCCTGTACATGGGATCTTCCTGTCTCTGCTTGCTAAGAAGCTGGGGTTACAGATATGCACCACCATGTCCAGGTAGCAGAATACCGTCCAGGGACATAGGATGTAAGAAAGGAAAGCTTTGTGTAATTGCACTGCTAATTGTGCCAACTGTAAGCTTGGCTTCTTGGGTTCCACTAAATTCCATGCTTTCTCTTAGAGTGAAGTCAGAAGGCTGGCTCGTTTAGTTCTCTTGAGTAAATTATACCAGCATGGAAAGTACTAGGGGGAGAAATCTGGTACCCCGACAGACACATGGCTCTAGGTAAATAGAACATAAAGCCAATCAAGCATGGTGGGAGATCCAAAGTAAAAGTGCTACCCGAGAAGGGAAGAGAAATCCAAGCTGGGAAAGGAAACTCTTTCAACCAGGGTTAATCTTACTTTGGGTGTAGACGATTTGTCTAGCAGAACCAGTCCTGGCTCCATAAGGGAACAGTTGTGACCTGAGATGGAAAGAAATCCTCTGAGCAGGTCTAAGTGTACCTGGATGCTGTGTTGTCCACCTTAGGAACCACATCTGCAGGCTGCTGAAGAGTCCTGGGGAATAACCTCAGAACACAGTTCTGATGGACTCTGACTTAGCTTGCAGACTCTCAGCTTTGAATCATTAAGAACCCCAAGTTAGCATGGGTTGTAAGTTGAGACTGCATTTCAACACTCATGAAGAAGCTAACCTGTCAACGCATGTACTTTTGCTTCCAATTTTATACTGAACTCCCACGGTCCATCTCATGCTGTAGATCCTTGCAATTTAAGTTTATTTTTCCCCTCCACTGGAATCTTGTCAATTCTTTACACACTTAAAAAACCTTGAGTGTCTCAGCCTTTTCTAACATACAAAGCCTAATCCCTTTTGCATTTAATTCTTGGTACTAGGAACCAGGTTTTGCCTCACGCTCGTCATTAACCCTCTGATAAACACTATGGCAATTAATTAAACCATTGATCAATCTATTTATTTAGCTAACATTGATGGGGTTACTCTGTGTAAGTCACTGGGCATGGACTTGAACTGGCATTAATGTAGAGAGGCCTTCTTTTATTGCCGTCCAAGAGCCCCAGCAAAGCTGTGCCGGGGATGGGATAGGGGCTAAGGTGGGGGCTCCCCTTTCACTAATTTTTCAGAATAGCAACTGCCATCCTTCCTTTCCTGCTTCCCTCTTGGGGGACACTGAGTTTCTATTTACACTTTGCACTTGGGCCGGCTGAGAGACAGCAGGCACTGGAGTCCAAGGCTTCAACTTCTCATGCGTTGGGAGTAGAGTAGGGGAGATGGGTGGACAGGGATTAATTCTGGAAGAGGGATACAGACATGATGACAAGGACTTTGGATTCTCATCTGAAGTCCCAGGACAGTAAAAAGGGCGAAGCAGGTGCTGGATTATTTTTCTTGAAATAAACCATATTAACGTTTAGTCTTAGGCTTTGGTATAACATAGTCTCGTGCATAAGAAGTCCTAGTTAAACCTCCTTCTTCCTGTCTCTGTACACTCAAATTCTTAGTAGCTGACATAATCTTCCAATCTGCAATTCAAGAAAAAAAAAAAAACAGGGCAATTTACTAAGAGAGGA